TGTGTGTGTGTGTGTGTGTGTGTGTGTGTGTGTGTGTGTGTGTGTGTTTAACCCTGTATGTTTTTGAGATGCATCGTATTACTGTAAGTAGTTCTCCTTACTTCCTTCTGGGCAATAGCCCATTGATTAAGTACATGTGTTGTACAGTTTGTTAATTGAGATGCCGAGTCTTCTCCAACTTGGTGTCTTCTCTGCTTCTCCAGATTTCTTTTCCCACAGTGCTCTAGGAGAGTGACTGCTGTGGACTTGCAGCAATGAACTACTTGCCCTGTTCCTTAGAAAGGCAGAAGAGCTGGGAAAGGAGGAGCCTCAGCCAATGGGAAGTTCCCACAGGAGATGGGGGTGGAGGGGACAAACACTTGCATATTTATTCCTGTACTTGATGCCCTTTCAGGGTTCCCTTTTGCAAGCTCTATCCCTCTCCTGAAGACCCTGCTTTTCTCAACAATCTTTATTTTCTCAGACTTTTTTTTTTTTCAAAATTGAGGTATCTGAGTGACAGTGGCTCTGTATTTTGGCTGCTAAAATTCCCCTCATAGTTTCTTTATATTCATCCCATCCCATCTCTTTGAACATGACACAGGAGTTTTTCTAATTTTAGTATGTTAACTATTTCTTCCTTGATCCTGACTGGTACAATGATCTTAGTTCTTTGCTTTTCATTCTTGTTAACAGTGTTGTAATAAGCCTTTTCATACAACTGCCTTCTGCAAACACATGGGAGAATTTCTCCAGGAGCAAGGTTTATAGGGTATAAGCATATCCAGATTTACCAGGTGTCATCACATTACCTTTCAGAAGGGCTGTTTCTGTTTATGTTCTTTCTAGCAGTCAGGAGTGTTTCCTACTATAGGCTTCTTTTTAGTCTGAGAAATACCATGTTTCATTTACACACTCTAGTAAGTTGTGAAGAATAGAGAAGGAAAGGGCGAATAGAGAAGGAAAGTTCTCAGCCTCAGAACTGTGGCACAAAATAGTAATCCTTGGCTCCTGATGGCCATTGCAGTGGGAGGAGTCAGGACTGTAAGTACCATCAATGCTTGTTGGGGGCAGACCATTCACTGACATCAGAGAGTAAGTAAAGAATCATATTTCATGAAATAGACTTGAGATAATCTTCTGAACGTATGTGCCATGCAGTAGGGAGTAAATAGTGGTGACTTAGGATTTGGGGGCATATTCTGAAGGCAACAGTGTACCACAGTGGATGGTCCCTGTGCATTGACTGTACTGTGTGTCTGTGTTTCTTAGCATGTGTTTAATATTTAAATGAAATGTAGCATACACAGAAGATTCAAGAACAGAAACAGTCAGAGTTTCTGAAAAAGCCAGCAGCCAGTCTTGGCACCAACGTTTAACAGGAAGGCTCAGGCAGGGAGGCATGTTGTGTCAGATGCCACAGGTGTGTACATAGATCTCCCAAGTGCTTCTAGGTGCTGCTGTCTCAGACTCTCCCAGGGCAGTCCAGTTACTTTGGGAAGTAGAGCTTAGGTTGAGATCTCACACCACCATCAAAGGAGTTCAGTTAACTCAAGCAGCTGTCCCTAGTTTACACTGTGGTCATCATCTGGAATTAGCTACCTGTCCCTGACCAGAGGTGATGTCTGAGAGACAGAGCTTCTGTTTCTCCAGGGGTTTGATAAGTGAGTCTCAGTCTCAACCATCCATTCCTTGTTAACATAATCTGCGCTGCTCTGCTGACGAGGTATGTAAACGTCTCACCTGAGAAGGCTCACATTCCTAAGGCATGTTCAGATACTCATTTTAATTAGGCAAATTGATAATTATAGTTCCTTGACACATATTCTAATTAGGACTTCTCTCTGCTAGCGTGTAACTTTCTTCAGTGGTTTACCGAATTTGTTCTGAGGGAATTCTGAAAGGGAGAAATTAGGACAAAGGTGCTTTTTAAAATTGTGTTTAAGGGCTGGCAAGATGGCTCAGAGGGTAAAGGTGTTTGCCACCAAGACTGACAACCTGAGTTTAATTATGGGAGCCCACGTGGTAGGAGAAGACAAACTGCCATAGGTTGTCCTCTGACCTCAGGTGTGCACTGTGGCATGTGCAAAATAATAGTAAAATTGGATTTCATTGTTCTGGGGTCAGAATTTACTTTTCCTCAGGTTTTTTTTTTCCCCCCTATCAGGATATTTCTACCTTCTTTGGTAACTTTCTTTAAAAGGTTGGTTGGGGGCTGGAGGGATAGCTCAGCAGTTAAGAACACTTCCAATATGCTGGAGGACCTGGCTTCAATTCCCAATACCCAGGTCAGGTAGCTTATAACCACCCTTAACTCCAGACCTAGGGGATCTGGTACTCTCCTCATAGATACCCAGACACACATACTCACACAGGTAAGCACACACACAGAAATAAAAAAATAAAAAATTTAAAGGAGTACATTTACAAAATAAATAAATAAAGGATTGTCTTTCTGAACACTTTGCACTTCTGCAGCTGCCTTGTAGGAACTGAGGGGTTTTGTTAATTTTGGACATTTCTCAGTTTTCCCTGTAAATCCTCTCACTGGAGAAAATAAGTGGGTTCTCAGTAGAAATAATCAAATTTAAACAGTTGTAACAGGGCAGGAGATGAAGTGAGTGCTTCAGTTGTGCCTTTTCATTTAGCACAAATTAGTTCCTTCTTATTTGAAGAGGGATCTGTTCAATAAAAGCTGTGGGAATAGATAGATTTGGCCCAACAGCCTAAATCAATACGGAATTTAATCGAAGCAGCTGAACTCTGGTTGGTTGTGGAAGGCCCTGTGGTGATAACTGAGCTAGAAGCAATTAACTAGTAAGCTGTAACTCAGTGACTGTTGAATAAGTGACTGTAGCCAGTTAAATTGTTTCCTATTCTTTGCTTCTGCTTTCTGTTACTCACTTCAATGCTACCTGCCCCATGCTGCAGCTCTTACTGCTGGCTCTAAGAGCTGCCTACTCACAAGACATTTTTGCTTTGTTTGGCTTTGATCAAATAACTGAACTAAATTCAGTTGGCCAAAGGAAGTTCCCTCTTAATAGTTCCTGTGACTAAATAGGAATGTTGGTCCTTTTTCACTCTCATTGTAATTACCAGCTTAGTGCATATTTACATGTTTAAAAAGATCACACTTTTCAAAAAATTAATTTTTAAAAAACTTATTTATTCCCTTTACATTCCAACCATAGCCCCCCCTTCCTGGTCCCACTGTCCTTCCCTTTTCCCTGTATCTACCCCTCCCCCCACCTACCCTTCCCAGCACAACAAGTTGTATCAGGACTGAGGCACCCCTGCCAAGGGGAAGTGATCAAAAAGCATGAGAGAGAGTCCCAGTCAGAGACAGCCCCTGCTCCCCTTACTAGGGAACCCACATGAAGACCAAGCTGTCTATCAGGTACATATGTGTAGGGGGCCTAGGTCCAGTCCACACATGGATCTGGGTTGGTGCTTGAGTCTCCTCAAGCCTACCCGGGCCCAGGTTAGTTAGCTCTGTTGATCTTGAGGAGCTTCTGTTTCTTCTGGGTCCTTCTATCATCCCTCCCACTCTTCCACAATGCTCCTTGTGCTCTGCCCAATGTTTGGCTGTGAGTCTCAGCATCTGCTTCAGTCTGTTGCTGAGTGGAGCCTCTCAGAGGACAGCTATGCTAGGCCAAAAAACCCCAATTTTTAAGTGAATTGTTTTGTTTGTGTATTTGATCTAGGCTCTAGCCCAGGCTGATCTGGAACTAATGAGCCTTCTGCCTCAGTCTCCCTAGTACTGGCCTTACTGGTGGGTGCCACCATAACCTGGTAGTGTTTTTATTTTTAAAAGTTTTATTGGGAACTCGTTTACCAAAACATCCATTCCTACTGTGTTCACAGCTTGCTTTCAATAAAGTTCCAGAGTGATGCAGGAACGTAGTTTAAAGCATCATTGTCT